CCGCCAGCTGAACATCTGGCCCTGGGGTGGGAGGGAGGGCCCAGGGGGCGGGGCCTCGGGGCCAGGGCCAGACCTCCAGGGGGTGGGGTCAGGACCAGGGTGGAGAGCGAGTCCCTCGGAGGGGCCCCCATGGCGCCCCTGGGCTTCCCGACTTGCCCCTCGGGGAGACCCCACTGTCCCCCAGGAGTAGCCGGAGGTCAGTCCCACCCACGCGCACGCTGGCCCCACACACCAGTGGGCTCAGGTTACTGCCGCCTGCCCTGGGGGCCGTGCGGCAGCCTGCCTGCCCGCCCGGGTGGAGCCCAGCTTTTCCTTCCATTTCCCTTCCTGCCAAGGAACTCCCCGCCCCCCTTCCGCAGGGGGGACCCCCCTTCATGCGCCCTTGGGGGCCAGAACGGATGGGAGGCCGGACAGGCTGGAATGAATTCCTCCAGGAGCTACTGGGCCAGAGCCTGGCTTCTGGTGGATTTGCAGGTCCCCAGGGGTCACCCCAATTCCTATTAACTGTTGCAGCCTGCACCCTAAAACAGAGGTATCAAGGGCTGAAGAATGGGTAGTGGGAGGTATAGGGGAAGGTCCAGACTGCAGGGGGAGGGAGGAGTTGGTCTCCCTCCCACTGGGTTCACTGTCACCCCAGCTGGAAGCAGCATCCTCCTCCCCCCGACAAGCTCGGGCAGAGTGACAGACAGGGAAGCGGGTAGAGCGGCACAGACGGAGATGGGGGAGGGGGTGGGCAGAGACTTTCAAAGCCAGACCCAGCCACCCTGCCAGGCACACAAAGAGCCAGCGCACACACCGCCGGCGGCTCTGAGCCTGCGAGCTGCGCCCGTGCCCGTCCCCGCCGCCTGGGGCGCCCCACAGGCCGAAGCCCCCGCCCGCCGCCCCTCCTACTCCGAGCCCCAGACTCCTGGACACACCTCCAGCCGGGCACACCCCGCTGTGCCCAGACGGAGCTGAGCTTACACTCGCGCGCTCTTCTGCCTTCCCTTCCTCGGCCACTCTGTAATCAGATTCCTAAATTTAGAAGCAACCCAGGGCCCAGCCAGGGATCCCTGCCCCCACTCGCTGACTGCGGCCGAGCGGCCGGGGTCCTGCGGTCGGGCCACGACCCGGCTGGGGCCGCCTGTTCCTCGGGGCTCCTGCGGACAGCCGGGGAAAACAAAACCAGGCACGACCCCACCCGGCTGCTACGCTGCAGAGCCACATGGGGCCACCCAGCCGGCGGCCACGTTGCCCGCCACACCTCGGGCCAGGGCTCCAGGGCCTTTTTCCTCCTCTTAAATCATGGATTGGGCACCAAGCCCCAGGGTGGGGAGGTCTGGACAAAGGAGGAGAATGAATGGACCAAGGGCTGTGCTGAGCTAAGGGAGCTGCTCCAGGATGGAAAGAGTCTTCCCTGGCTGACCTCTCCTGAGTGGCAAGGTGCCATCCCTGCCCCCCACCTCCACCCTTTAGGGAGGCCCTACTCTCCTTCCCTCCTTCCTGGCAGGGAACCATTGCTGGGCACCACCCTCTCCTGTGAAGGCATCTTCCATCTTGGCCCTTCAACCCCCATCAAGCAGGGCCTCCATCGGGTCCCTCATCCCCCCCAACCCTTGCCTCCTTACCATACCCTTACCTCCTGGGGACCCGGCCCCTCCCCCAATTCCAGCACTGAGCATTCTGCTAATGTCTTGCCCCCTTCCTCCAGGGCTCCCTCAGGTACCCCAGTCTGTCTAGCTAGGATCCCCAGGCACTGGCTTCTCTCCTGCCCCGGTAGCCCCCTACTCTTTAAGACCTAATTCTGTTCTCCCTTCTCAGAGCCAAGGAAGATTCTGCAGGGAGGGGAGGTTTGTTCTCTGGGATGGGGGATCCCTAGGCCCTGGTGTAGTGAAGCTTCTGCCTAGGAGGTAGACTTTGACACGGGAGGGGTACCCTAGGAATCTGGGGGCAACTGTTGGGGCCACAGGGTCCAGAGAGGAAGCACATTTCCAGTGCGCAATCCCCCCTCAAGGGGCAAGGGTGCACTTGGGAGGGGGAGGGCAGGGCCCCACCCCTCCCACCTGCTGCAGCCGCCCCCTCCCCAGCTGGCCCCCTCTTTTGTGCAAAGCCACACAAAGGACAAGGGGCCCAGGCTGGCCTGGCCATCTGCTCCCAGCAGCCTGAAGGCTCTTAAAGAGACAGCACCCCTCCCTGCAGCCCTGGGGTTGTGGGGCGGGGCTACACCACAGGACCCATCTCAACAGTACCCCGGTCTCACCCACTTTTTTCCTGGCTCCCCAAACCCCCAGGTCAGGAACCATCCTCCCCCAGGCCTGAGGCCCAGAGGTGCCACGTGGCCAGGAACATGGGGTGTGGGAGGGAGAGCGGAGAGACAGCTCAGGACCAGCCCTCCCTCCAGTGTGAGACAGGTCTGGAAAGCTCGGTAGCAGAGAACCACAAGAACAGGGTCGTCCCTCCCCTCCTCGAGGTACTCTCCAGGGATTCCATCCTGCCATTTTCACCGATGGCTCCCACTCGTCCTTCCCTGGAGGGCTGCAGGCCAGGAGACAGGCTGCTTGCAGAAGCCCCAGGTCAGGACACATTTCTTTCCTGTACTTCCAGACGAGAACACTGAGGCTCTGCTCAGCCCCACATAGGCCCCTGCCCGGGAGCCTGGCCCCATGGCCTAGGCCACAAAAGGCTCCTCACTGCCAGATCCTGCTGGTGCCCTCGCCACCCAGCTCACAGACACGGGTTCCCATGATTCGTGTGACTGGGTGTCGCCTGTCTGCCTGCTGGGCCGTGAGCCAGATGAGGGCCGGGACTGTGCCCACTGCTGTGTTCTCAGGGCCCCGTATACAGCAGGCACTCAGCGTTTATTAAGTGAATAAATGTTAGGGGCCCGAAGAGCCTTTCTCTTGGCGTGCTTCCTCTGTGCTGCGCCTCTTGGGCATCTCGCCTTCTCCCTCCTCAAGGTGAGGCAGCAGGGACAAAGGTTGGACAGGGATGCTGGGAAAGAAAAGGGTGACCTTGGGTGAGCCACCCAGCCTCCCCTCAGCTCCCTCCTCCCTCCCAAAGGCGGGGGCAGCTTCAGCCAATACCCAACCCGCCAGCTCTGCCAGACAGACTAGGACTGTCCTGAGCTCCGGCCCAGTAGGCTGGCCACTGTGGTGTGGGGCCCGGGACCCTGGCCAGCCCTTCAAAGGCCAGGGCCAAGGGGCTAAACGTGGGGAGGGAGGCAGGCTGGAGGGCAGGGAGGAGGGAAGGTGTGGGACCTGAGCAGAAACCCAGCTGAGCAACTGGGGGGTGGGCGGAGAGACTGGCCAGAAGGCCCCAGTGGAGGGAAATGGGGGAGGTGGGCTAGAGTGGACAGGGCAAAGGGAGCTCCCTCCTGGGCCTCCACCCCTCAGTCTTCCCAGACAGAAATTTGGTCTCTTTCTCCCGTTCTGCCTACTGCGGCCCTCTGGCAAGTTGTGTGGCCCAGGGTACTATCCCTCACCCCCATCTCTGGGCCTCCCCTGGTCAGCCTGGCCTGTGCTACCCCCCCAGCCCTGCCCACCCCCACCCCCACCCCCAACCCCCCCCCACCCCGTTGCGAAGCAGCTGAGAAGGTGACAGAGGTGGCAATCTGGTGCTTGGCACTGTCTCAGCACTGTGGCCATGCGAGGAGGGGGCTAGAGAGGCCAGGCAGGCACATCTTGGAGTGGCTTGTGTGTCAGGAGTGGGAAGGGGGTGGACAGAACAAAATCAGGCATGAAGTCAGCAAGGAGACCCCAGGCTTCCTGACACCCACGCCCAGGAAATCTGGCTCCCCGAGAGCAAAGCAGGAACTAAGGAGGAAGGTCAGCAAGACCTCAGCTGGGAACGACAGGAAGGCGACAGGCTCCCCGGACTGAGAGGGCAGCTTCCAGACCCAGGAGCTTGGTTTCCCTGGAAGCTAGGAAAGGGGCCTGCCCTCGCCCTCACCTGGACAACAGCTGCGCCCTCTGGCGGTGACTGCATGGACCAAGGGGGTCCCCACCTCAGCCTGGGTACAAATGTCCTCCCCAGGGGGCTGAGCCTGGCACCCTGAAGAGCCCATGTCCGGGAAGTAAGACCTGGGTCACATCCCCCTTGGTCACTGGACACACTGACCTCAGGTCCAGTCCCAGCAAGTCCTTCCCCCTGGGCCACATGGAATCTCAGAGCAGCCAGGTGGAACAGAGCTCCCTAGGGAAATGACAGCAGAGACCTGGCGACCAGGCGGGGGTGGGGAAAGCAGCAGGGCCAGGGCAGGCCTAGAGTGAGTCCTGGCTCTGTTTTCCACCTTCTGCATGGCCTTAGGTGAGTTATTTGGCCTCTCCAGGCCTCGGTCCCTCCTTTGCTAAAAGGGAATAACCCTGATCGATTGGTAAGAGGTTCCAAGCAGGAGGTAGTAAGAACACCCACATAAGCTGGTTTCCGTCCAAGCAGAGGTCTCCTCTAGGTCCCCTCAGCAGAGAGAGCCCCTTCTGCCCACGGCTCATTGCTCCATAAGGCAATCTGTGCTCTGCAAACCAGTTTTCAAGGCTGTCCCCACCTTGGGCTTCTGGATCAGACTTTTTTTTTTTTTTTTTGCTATAGGGCATGTGCGCTCAGGAGAGAGAGAGATGGCCAAAGAGAGGGATGACCATTTTGCAATCTCTTTTCCTCCATTCTCCTTTTGGGATTTTGGGCATACATGCACACATACACCTAACATGATTCAAAAACCATCAGGTTCAGGACTGAAGCAAGTGGTTGGCTTCCTGGGAGTTCTAACCACCATACCACCCGCTGGCACCTCCCAGCGTAATTTTTTTTTAAATTTTAAATTAATTATTTATTTAGAGAGAGTTTTGC